TACTTTTATTCGTGTTACGTGCCATCGGATAAACATATCAGCTTTTTTATTCAATTTGATGAAGAAAACAAACTATACGGGTCTTGGCTAGCATCTTGTCGAGAGATTTAACAAATGTGTTCGTCTAATATTACTCTTTTTTATTATACATGTACTCAACAATGAATAATTACCACATTTTAATGTAATATTTCTGTGTTGTGTTTTGTTTCATATTTCTTACGGTAATAAAACGCTATAATAAGGCCTATTTTAAAGTCGAAAGGGGATCACACAATATTCAAACAGGAGCTAGAATAGAAGTTATGCTGTTAAAGCCATTCACTGTTGTATATATTGATTTTTTTTTTAAAAAAAAGGGGTAAATGTTTAGCTAGCAGAATCATTTACTACCATCTACAACCTACTAAATTCCCTGAGAAATAGTCTCAGTTATGCTTACTCGGAAAATAAAGTACGAATACATAAATATATTCAGAAAACATAATGTAAAACATTTTAGAGGTGGAAATGCTAATTTCTAGCAAATGTTTGAGTGCAACTCATAATTGTGCAAAAAAAGAAAAACGCTTATATTTATCGCAATAAAAAAAAGATCAAGGCAAAATACAGGTTTATCGTCCTTTCATATTGATAACAATAATTGGCATAAGCAAGATATAAACGTAGGTTGTTGATCTTATGTTTAGTGGGTAAGCCGAGGAAAGTAAACAAATAAACCTTATGCATTTGCAAAGCAAAACTGAACAGTTTGCATGTTCTTACGAGCTACGAACTATTTTGGCAGTAATGGTTATCAGTGGGAAATCATCATAATGTGTTCTAAGACATTTTTGTCTCTAAATGCTTTAGTTGAACACATAAGTATATGTACCAGGGGAATGACAAATATTTCATAGATCCAGGCCTAGAAAATGTCAAAGATATGAGAAATAATAAGAGGGTACTAAGTACTAACATTCTCTACGGAGAATATGTCATCTTAGTTAGCTATCATAAATTAGGTTTTAATCCTATCTAAACAAAAGAAAATGAAAGGATGTTATTTTATATTCAAAGCAATAGTCACTTTTAGTTCTATATTAGTTAGCACAATAATTTTTAATTTTCCAATAAAACTAATAGCTTATATTTTGTGAAATCTCATCAATCATTCTTTCAATAAACTTTATAAGTTGATGTTGTGCTATCAGTATATGTAGTTGTCTGCTGTTTTTATGGAAGTTATATATTAAAAATGTACAATATATATTTCTGTGGCTTCTTAAGCCGATATCAGGTGCCTTCGACGGGACATTGTCTTCTCCACTGTCTGTCGTAAATGAACAGATTGAGACAATTCGACCATGTAACATTTTCATTTGTACCGTTTAAAATCCTTCTAGGCTACCATTTCTTTTAAAGGTTTATTATATTCATAATTTTATTGCAGAGATTCATAGAAATCCAGGATAATTCCTATGGAATACATTAACTATGAATAAGATATACACAAACTACATTTGGGAAGCTGCATTCCTTATAACTGGGCAAGTTAATTTGCTCCTTTTAAAGCTAGTTTTTTCTTATAACACAATGTATTCTCACTGTGGGTAAAGTTAAAAAGGTAACACATCTGCTCTTTGTGTCTTCCAATGATGTTTGTTTTTCTTACATTTAAAAATTATAAGTATTGAAAAAAACTCTTTAAAGTAAAAATAGTTTGACAAATGAGTAAAAAATGAAACATAAACAAGGTTAAAGAGAACAAGACAAGCCTTATTTCCATGTTTTTAGGCATAAGAAATACAGGGAAGACCCGTTGCTAATGTTGAGAGAACTTGTGGGTCAACCCTTTTGCCAAATATGTCATGTCATTGTATTGTAACTGTCTACATGTATGTATATGTCTTATTTTTGGCAATAAAATATGTTTAAATCAAGAAATATAGCAGACTATGGCTTGCAAAAACTTTTTCTTGATTTACCTACAGAACTATTTTATTATCAGAGTGTACGAAAAATTATAAATATTTACTAATATCTCTCTGCCAAGCATTCTAGTGCATGTTATATTTTTAATAATAATTTTATCATAGAAACATTATATTGCAGATCAAGGTTATGCAGAGGTACTTAATTACTTTAACGAAATAAACATTTATTTTTAAACTCAAAATAGAAACTAAGGTTGTTGCACTTTAAACAAAGGATATCACTTTGTATTGTCTTTTGGTACGAAAGTAATATGAAATAAAACAAGAACGAGAGATATAAATTACATTCTGTTTGATCTAAGCTAATGCACAATTATGACTTACAAAGTTTTATTTTCTTAATACTATGTCGTTTTTGGTAATATTTGACATTTTAATGTAGCTAACAAAATCATTTTACCTGAATAGATCGATATTTTTTGCGTACCTCTTTTGTTTTACGTCACACCGACACAGTACAATTATGGCGACGGTCCAGCTTTACCACTGGAGGAAGACCTCGGGTGCCCTTCCGTGCATTATTTCAGGCTCGAACGGGCACCTGAGGAGAACCATCGGCGTTCCGTAAGCTATCATTTGAACAATTTAGAATAATGCTTATCAGAAAATAAATCAACTTAACCAGTCAATTTAAATGATACAAAGTTCACAAATATTTATAAAGAGAAGTTTATTTAGTACATAATCATATTTAGTACATAAAATGTTTGAAATTGGTATAATGCATGATGCCTGACATAGCCCCCAATATTCGTCTTCTACAGGAAGCACTAAATTAACAATCATATGAAATTCATTAAAAAACAGCATTTCTACATTAAAATGTAGTTGAACAATACGTTGAATTATCTTATCAAATGTATGTAAACAACGTTTCCGTTTAAAAGCTTTCCATTTTTCGCAACATATTTTAGTTTACTGGTGATATTCTGTATAAAAAATATCTTATCTCCATTACACTTTTACATGTTATCAACATGGTTGAAAGATTATTATCCCTTGTCTGATGATTTTTCTCAAAGCATATGTTATCTAAAATTCTATTTATACACTTGATAACAGGCATTGATAATTAATGTATATGACGATATATTTAAGAATGTGTTTTATTTTCTTACTTAAAACTGTTTCATTTAATATGTCATGAAAAAGCAAATTCAGCGTATTTTATTATCGCGCTATCCAAGTCTTTTTGAACATTAATACATTCATTAAGTACATATTACAGCCATGGAAAACTTAGGCAACTATTTACATTTAAAATGTTTTATGGAAGGCTACTTGCTTTTTAAGCATTACCTCGATTTTAAAGAATATTTAAAAAGGATAGAATTACTGTCAACTTTACTGAGAAAGTTAGGATCTAGTAGGAACAACATTTTTATTCCCCCCTTTTTCCCTTAACATAATTATAATCTTTGTATCAACAGAAACAAACAATTGTTTAATTGTACTTATTTAAGTATAGGTACCAATTGGCCAAATAAAGATTGATTTGATAAAAATCTGATTATTTAAAGTCTAACAAAATCCAAACTAGATCCTAAAAGTATTTAATATTTGACAAGATCAACCGTACTTTTGAGGAAAATACTTGAAACCGTCCCTAAGTTTGGTAGATTCAGACAATATTTTCAAGTAGGGTTTCAGGTCAAAATAGTCAAACAAGTGTTTAAAATATCTGAGGAAGGCTATCATTTAACAAAATACTTCATTTAACTTTTGTGCTGTTTAAGCGAAATGTTATCATTGTTTCTTAAAATTAATAAGTAGGAAATATGTTTTATAATGATGATAATACATATTGTTAAAGAGTTTTATTATTTCTTAAAAGAGCTTATGTAATGCTTTGTTCAGAATAGTTATAAAACCATACGGTAAATATTGTTCAAATTTAGCAAACATATGTGCTTAAATGACATCAATATAACTATTTTATTTCATTTCCTGACAGTGCCTTTAAGATGTCAATTTCCTAGGACAATTAAATCATTCGGTCAATCATTTCGTATATTCCCTTTATACCGAACATTTATATAACTTTATCCTTTGTTAAATATAAGCCCTTAAGTCCAAATTTTTAACTGATATGTTAATTACAAAAATAAATAATCAGTGATAAAACTGCATGAGAAATAACCATAAAACAAAATTTTGTGATTAAAATTCCACGTAAATATTTATATTTCTAACCTCATCCGACTTCTGTTTATCCAGAATAGGAAATTAGCGCAGTTTTTAAAATGCAATGTTATGTCTTTCTTGCACCTGCAATACTTTAATGATATAGGCAATTCCAATTAGCATCATTGTCTAACAATGTATTTCTAGGAGTTACCTTTCAATATGTAATGTTTTTGTAAGTAAAGTTTGCAGTAAAGAAAACGTATCATCATACTTGTTGGTATTTATTCTACTACGACTTATGAATAAATAAAATGAAATGTATATACTTCAAATATATATGCTTAATCGGTCAACCAAGAAAGTTTACAAGGCCGTAACAGGTCAAAATTTATTATCTGCTTTTGAAAGTCAACATTTGTCTGATTTTAGGAAGACGCTGTCTTACATACAGTCTAAAGAAATTTTATCTGCTTTTAAAATTCTGTACATTTAATTTCTATTCATGAAATGTCAATGGTAAAATAACTTGAAAGGTTTTAAATTAGTTAAATTCATGATTGTAGTAAAGTATTTTTAGAGTTGTAAACATTTTTCAATATTCCTTCATCTGCCAGAAAAGATAACATTTGATAGATGTAGTCCAAATATGTTTCCCATACAAGACTATAATATTCTTTTTCTTTCTAAATAAATAACAAACTTCAATATTATAAGTAATTAATATAAGATATGACAGTCTATGTGAAGTACACATATCGACCTTTCTCAAACTGTATTGGAAATGAAAAAAGACGTGTTAAAACTATGAATCGTATCTTTACTAGTTCTAAATTGATTGTGTTCCAGTGATTTACAAATGTAGATGATCTTATTTGGCAATTGAAATTAGATATTTTTCTCTCTGTTAGATACATGTCCAACATTTTAAGTAGCATTATGAACCATCTAAAAAAAGTTGTAAATGTAAACCAGATTTGAGGCTAGTAAATAAGATGTTATATTAACATTTGATTTGAAAATTACTCGAGTAGTTTTGATTTTGGTATTTATGTATAAAATTTGAAATGTTATCAAAGTTAGCGGTACATTTTTATACGCAAAGCCAAACATTTTAACGTTAGTGATTTCTTTAATTGATTAGTCGTATACATAAGTTTGGTAAATTGTTGAGGTAAAAATCATGATTAACTAAACCCAAACACCACACAAATAATAAATAAACACACACAAATATCTGCCATGTATAAATGAGTCACTGTGTAAAATGGTTACAAAATCTGTTTCTTTCCAACTTTGACCGTAAGTGTATGTACCTTAAAACAGTCAAGCATTTGATCATCAGTTACGAGAACTGACATATCATATGTCTGATATATGCCATGATGAATGAAAAGTGATTGCATTTAATATCATGAGGTATGTACGGCAAGTCTTTGTTTTCCAAGTTTATTGCAGTTTTTTCTTTCGTATTCAACTTATTCCATTATCGAGAAACATTCAAATGGTTTTATGAAACTTTTGTTTACCTATATTAATTAAGCAGAAAAATAACTTAATGCCATATTTAACAAGCGTCTCAGGATATTAGCAATTTAACGCCAGACATTCCAAGGAATTGATTTCATATTTTTCATGGTATTCATCATATTGTTGTTCATATCGTTCATTCTGTTGCTGTTGTTGTTATTATTATTGTTCATATTTCCACTTTCGTTATTATTGTTATTATTATTATTCATGTTTCCATTATTATTGTTGTTATTGTTCCTATTACCAGTACTTATTTGTTGTTGATTCGCAGTCGGGGACATCATGAAAGCTGGTCGTTGCATTCTCCTTACATTTCCGTCTAAATTTGGACCATCTCTACTACTGCCCATAACAGATGTCAACATTCTGAATACATCTCTGTTGAACACTGGCATATTTGGTTCCGGCATAGGACCTCTTCCACGAACGTTTCCATCGAGATTAGGCACGTTGGAATTTCGTACCATTTCCATTCTTTGGGACATTACATCAACTAGATTTGGTATCATTGGACTATTCAACGTTGGCCTCATCATCATTGGTCTGTCCTGGATATTTACAGCGCTAGATGCATCTTGTATTGGCATTTGTATCGATGCCATACTGCCACCTACGTTTGGAATGTTCGGATTATTTAACCTTGACATCATCATTTGCATTTGCCGAATATTGCCCTCTACATTTGGCATGTTTATTGGTCCTTGCATCGGTCTGTCTCGGACATTTCCGTTAAGGTTCGGTACGTTTCCATCTCTATTCATTTGCATCATTGACATAATCGGCATGTCTCGTACATTTTCATTCAGCATCGGCATATTTGGTTCCATCTGCATCGGCATCATCATTGGCATGTCTCTCATTTGTCCATTCAGATTAGGGACATTTGCATTTTGCATCATAGACATCATCATTAATGGCATATCACGAACATTTCCGACTGGAGACAAAGCATTTCTATCCATTAACATCATCGGCGTACTCCGAGGATTAGATTCTTGCGCCATCATCTCCATTGTCATATTCATCAGATCTAACATCATCATCATTATAGCCTCACCATTAGGAGATGGCCGGACAGTGCCACTTGGTCTGTCAAAATTAGCCTCAATAACTCTTTGATTTAGTGGTTGCGTAGTACGATAGTTACCAAACCTGGAGTTGAAATCTCCACGTGATTGTAAACCCGTCAACGAAAACCACTGTTGAATAAAAAATAACTTTTTATTATAAGGTTTTAATCATGTATTCGTCATATCATAAAACGATTATAAATCACAGTATGGAATAATGTACTCCAAAGTAAGCATTGAAATAAATTGATATAAGTGAAATACAGGCTTTAAAACGTGAAATACAGGCTTTAAAACATATTCTTACCGCTTGTTCCGTTACCATAATAGGGTCTTTGAGGATTATCCAACGGACTGATTCGTGGCAAGTAGGTGTTGTTGTACTGCCAGCATATGTGTAGAATTCACAATCGCGGTTAAAGAACATTGTCAAGTCAACTTCTGTACTAGCGTTCGCCTCTGAAATAAATTATTGTAAAACTTTCTGTAATGAAATGTATTGTACCAACGTATCATAATTTTGTTAAAAGATTTACAATACAATGATTTTTGATCATTTTCAATTAATCTTGTAAATCAAAAACATGTATTCTGGTAATTTGAATAACTCGTTATTTATGTTGTCCTTTTGCTCAAATCCTACCATAATGGTTTTTAATCTAATTTTTTTCTTCAATATTCAACTTATTAATTCAATATAAATAGGAAATGTACGGCTTACTGATTGAAAGCGGAATCTTGTCCGTGTTATTTGACAGTAGTATATGTGAAAAGGGTTGATTTTCAAGAACTATTTTAAGATATTTTTATTTAATACAAGTAAATGTTTATTTTCAAAGTAAATAAATTGTACAAAGATCATATTCTGTGATTTATAAAACGATTTGTCACTTTTGCTCAGGACATATATCTCTTCATTTAACTTTATCAATATATGTAATGTTTCCCTAAAATCTGAGGAAGAGGGAATAAATATGCTTCATAAATATCACTTACGGTAGGGAAATATCCTTGGAATATTCATTTCAAGAAACTCGGAGAATCGTGAAGTTTCACCGCTGTTTGACATCCCACCGGGGATTTTCTAAAAATATTAAGAATGAAAAAATGACTAAATAATTAGACGAACTGGTTTTGCATTTTTTAATCAACCTCTTGGTAGAATATCAATATCCAATGTAAAGCTTTAAACTACTAATTTTCACATTGTATGCTAATATAAATATTGCCTTATCAATAACATGTATTATGTTTGAATTAAAATTAAAACTTTTTCTCACAAATGCCAGGTTTCATGAGATGTTTTCTGAGCATTAAATTGGATCATATTAGATCGTGTTTGGACAATTTATTGTATAAATAGAACAAATCATGTGTTTATTATAGAGTTGTGTTTTAGTGTTATTAACCGTATGATTTGCTTTTGTACTGACTTGAGAAAAACAACAAAGATACGTTTTTAAAATGTCATTGAAAGAGGCATATTTATGTATACGACATTGATGTGCTTCTGTAGATTCTGTAACTCATTCAAAAAACATAAAACACGTTTGTATAACAGAAGAGGATTTCAAAAATAAAATAAAAATATGTATACATACCTGAATCATAATGACAATAACTACAACTCCATCTGTCTTATTGTCAGCTTCCTCCAAATCTTTATAGTTACTGTTGTAAAATACGAAATGAAGCTGAAAAATAAATATGAGAATTAGAATATTCAAACTATGCTAAAATCTTTTATTGATGTTGACATTCTTTGAACGACATATGTATCGTTAAATTTGATCTTGGCTTGAAATTAAAAAAAAATTTAGTTTTAAGAATTGCTTAAGGATAAGTGCATCTAGAATTTTGATCTTTAATGCATTCTCTCGATTTCGAGTCCCTAAAAAATGAAATGGATTTTTGTTCTACAGTAATCTTTTATTGATTTAAATGGTAATTCAAATTTAATAGAATAAATTTGGAATCTAATGGTCAGAATAGAACTGTCATGACCAACAAAATACGTACTTCTCCTTCAAACCGAAGTCCATCTATTGTATGCTCTGATCCAGCGGACATGATACCACTTCCTCTAAATCGCAAACCCTGAAATTATTAAATGTCTATAGTATAGATTCTAAACACATACATGTCAATATAATTAACGGTACCTTGACTGCAAACTTGCAGTATGTGTGTTGGCTTAATCGGCCGTCTGCTGTACGACTAGTTTCACAATATTGAAATACAGCTGGTGTAGACACCGGACTTACACAAACCTTATGTCGGAATATTTAAAAATTCTTCTAGAATATGTTATAAACATTTTGATTTTTTTGAACTTTCAATTTGCGTTTGAAATTACAATGATAGTAAATTTGACAATGCAACCTTCGTGACGAAAACAAATTCGTTTTTTGTTTGAATCACATTAAATTAGTCTTATAAACAGAAATCATTTATAGATCATATTTCATTTTATACTCTACGCCATCGAAACTTTTGTGTATCTAAATAATACATGAACATGGAAGAAAGATTTATCTGATGAAATATAATTTTTAATGTAAAAATAGTTAAGATAAACAAATGACCGATTCTTGAAATATTTGTTTCAAAGAATGTCTATGTAAGTTAATATATCACAAATATAAAAAAAGTCCACAGACAGCAAATATATAAATTTTTGAGCTGAATAGACAGTAGGATTGCTTTTTCAAGCGATTCTTTTGAATGATAAGGGTATAATTTATTTTATTATTATGTGTTTTATGCATTTTATCTCACTTTTATACGAAATTTTAAAATAAGTGCTTAAATATTTCAGTGGGTAAAGTTGTAATATAACAATTAAAAACAAGAAATCTTCTTTGTTTTCCGTTTAAAATTATTAAGAAATCATTTCAGAAAGCAGTTAATACCGGCATGAAAAGTCTGATTTTTATAAATATTTGATAATAATCATAATAATCATAATGATCACTAATAGACAAGTTATAATGGCAGGCAATGATACAAAAATTATCTGCCGTGAATCATCAAACTAACTCGGTAGGGTTCCCATCAGGTTAAAATAAATAATTATGTTCAACTTGGAAATTACAGTGTAACTTCCGAATTCCGGAACTTCTGAAATCCGGAAACTTCTAAAAACCGAACATTTTTTTCGGTCCCGATTTTTTCCCTTCTATTTTCTATTAGTATAATACTTCTGAATTCCGGAACTTCTAAATTCTGAATTCCGGACGATATTTTCGTAAAATTAGAGTCAAATCAATGCAATTTTACCTCCAAAAACCGGAAATATCCAAAGGTGTGAAATACATTGTAAAACGAGAATTTTTACCCTGCAGGAAGGTTTAATCTCCCTATCGATTGTTTACTAGTTGTATCTACAAAAGAAATCGACACTTGACTTCGACGTTGAACATAACCTACACGATCATTGCAAATTGTTAGTTCTATTGATAGTTCTCTATCAAGAACTATTCTCTTATCACCTACAAAATAATCATTAAACATCTAAACATAATTAATGATGCTATCAATGCTCTTATAGCCGAGTATATAAACAATTACAAGTTGGCTAAAACATGATCATTAATACACTTCTTAACTATACATATCTTAAATATTATCCCTGTATTCAGAACTAATTCCCGTGCCCTCCGTTACAGGACTATAGTTAAGTATTAGATTCAAATTTGATAATTATATTATACTTGTGGATATGCGTTAATATGAAATGATTGCATTAACTACCATCTTAAATCGCAGCGCTTAGCAGGGGCTACCTCAAATACATAAATATTGTTCAAAATAATACTGAGATTAATAATCCTCTCTTTTCATGTTGGTCACGATCCATTTTCATAAGTACCTGCTAAGACATTTATTCACAGAAGATATGTGTCTCCTTCATCGATATAATTTATAATACTATTAAACAAAATCAAGGCTGTCAATAATAAAAACAGATATGCTTTTAATGGTTGATTTTTGGCAATGACAATGGAGTATTTGAGGTTTTCATATCAGTCAAGTCAAATAATTTATTATTTCAGTTATTATTAAGATTATATAAAATATTTTCAATTTTGAAATAGATACAAGTAAATCAAGAGATAATTTTATAAATTGAATTCAAACGAATCGTATATAGCAATTTGTCTATATTGAAAGTATACATTAAAACATGTTATTGGCATTCGCTCGGATATGAAAATGTGAAAGTTTGTTTGATTAACTTTGAATATCGTCACAATTGTCATTTATGTGTACTTACTGATTTCAATGCAAGTAGAGATTTAACATCATTCACAAATTGATGTTCATATTGCGAAAATGACTTTTTTACTAACTTGTATACACTGTACTTTTAATGACTTCTAAAACTGTATACCACAAACTGTATCTCGGAAAAGGTTTTCATACCTGATTGTTCAGGATAATTAAATACGATTACTATATCAGAATTTGTGTGTATTCTATTTAAGCTAGTGCAACAAGCATGGCAGATGTTGCTTCTGGACTGTATCTCTTTAACAGATGAAATAAAATATCGGTTATAATTATATATTTTTAAGAACTATTTTGACCTTTTTCTATTTACCTGCAGTTCGAAATCCCTGCCGGTAACTCCGCCATAATGGAGATGAAAGTCGTGAAGTTTGTACATTCCTGACCGGTAAGGTACATTGGTCAACTGTAACATTCGTTCATCTTCAGGTTCAAACTCGGCTGAATGACCTTCATGAATATATTAAATATATTGTTAAAAAGGTTATTTACGTCATATACCTCAATTGTGCTAGCTTTATAATTTGATGTAATGAAATAAAACAAAATAACCTGATTTAAGGCTTACATAAGTTTTGTCAGACTGGATTTATCGATTTAAATATGTTTTATGAAATACCTATGATACAATAGCTATCGTTTTCAAAACTGCCTTACAAGAAGAACTAGAATATATGCTGAAGTTGTAAATAGAAAGGGTTTGATATTGGTCCGCTAAAAAACGATGACATTGATCTGAGTTTTATGTAATTATATAAATGAATTGAGTATGAAAAAAAGACCAATCAGGAAGAGCAACGTTGACAATACACCACCCCCACACTTGCAAGAAAACGACAACCCAAGGACATGATGGTCAGACAAACGGGACGAAGGAAGGACTGATTATAAGAGAAGTTGGGGCACCACCTTGAAATGATCAAAAGATAAAACACTACAAGCAAAATTAAACTGGTGTTTGGTGCGTCAAACCAAAATACCAGTCTCAACATGTTCCTCAATACTAGAAAGTGTAAATAAAATTATTTTATAAATTACAACATTTACCATTATTTTTGAACTTGCCACGTAGAATATTACTGTTGTAAATCATACGAGGACATTGACAAGAGACACCATAGCGGACAAGGTCGGTCTGAATGTCAACTGGAGATTGATTTTCTCCTCCACAGTCTGAACTGTATGTCCTTGGCCAGTTATACACACCTAGAAGAGAATTAAATTTGTAGATAAGAAAATTATTCTGTTACTCCAATATTTTGCAATCCCATGCAAATTTCATGATTTCCGTTGACATTTTTTCTGTCTTTTCAAATTACTAAAATTGATTGTATTCCTTTAAGAAATTAGTTTTCTACTAAATGTTTGCTAGTGGTCCTTTAGAAGTACAAATGTACCGACTGCATTTAAAACAACTAGGATATCAAATTGATATGAGCTCGAATCTTGTAAGTTTTCGCTTACACATTAGAACATTAATCATTTTCGATAAGCCTTTAATGAAAAACGTTGTAAGGTAATTACAAGTCTAATGACAATTGCCACTGTATTATATATTATTTAACAATTTTATTATTAATGTAACAGTATTTCAATAAAGAATGTTATAATTCGGAAGCTTACACCCACTTTATTTTCTTTCTATATTTTAAGTAGTACATTTCGTTTTAAAATAAACAACAATCTTCCGGCAAAATATTATCAATATAATTTTGCTAACCTAGCATATTGTTCGGATTGGGGTCATAGTTGAATCGTGTTTGACTGTCAACAATCCACTGGTATAGTGTGCTAGAGTGTACCCCACTGGTACACAGGAATAAGAGAAATGTCAATACCGGCCTGGCTTTCCTCCTGAAATTCATAGGAAAATATATCACGAAGGGAAATGATGCATAGGTTTTGTATTAGACAAAACTCAATAAATCATTTTAAGAAAAAATATCGATTATTTACAATGTATATATTTATATCAAAATAATACTCTTTGGTAATAATTGTGTTTTTTTATAAAAAAAAAACCCGTAAAATATTCATTGAAAACTTAAAATTGATATAAATTTTCCTAGTTGAAAAAAAATCCGAGACAATAAATCAAAAAAAATGTTCAGTTTGAACCTAAATTCTCTTCAATCAACAACAAACATGCTTAATTTAACCTTTCCTTACATCCCGTGATGTTTTCAGCAAATCAACAAATTAGCAAAATTCAAGCGTTTTAAAATATGTAGAAAATACAAAAAATCATGAAAGCAAAGAAAAAAAACCGTAACAACAAAGCACTTACATTATTCCTTTTTATATTTCACCGTGCACCTTTCACGGTATATTTATGTCTTGAACTGGCGAACATCCGACCGCAATGCTTCATGTCTTTCATTTTCGTACGAGTTTTACGAAAAAATCTTGTTAACAATACACTGTTCTACATCGTTCTAACACATGCTGACAAGGACAAGCTTTTCACAGATTCTCTCTTGTTTTTAACATCAAGTTCCTTTGGTAAAAGCTAATGTAAAGTTCACAATAACATGTAACGTGACGACATATATTAAACCTCTTGCGTTATTTCAAGCTTTCAAATTTCCGTTTTTAGATTAAAAAGCTTGAGGTAATTTTAATTTGGTTTGACGCATCGTCGTAATTTAAAAAAAAACTAATCTTTATTGCTATGATGAAATTTGTTATATTGTATTACGTTAAACTCTGATCCCTCGACGCTTAATGCGACAGCTTACTCTGTATATGTATTAACAATGGAGTCGTTTAGGGGAGCGCTCATTCATAATCATGAATGCGTAAAAGATGAAAGCAACTGTAGACAAGACTATAGAGAAAGGATAGTTAGGACACATAAGAAATTAAATTAAAAGCAAATCGAATTCAAATATGAAATAAGCGTATGTTTTCTCAAATCGCCAATTTATCCCTGTGGTAATACTTTTGTTATATTTCGGGGTCATTAATATTTGTTTCAGTGTAGGCTTGTTTACCGCTCTTGTTTACGTCTTGGTTTTTTTCTTAATCTGATTGTATTAGACTTTCTTTAAACAAAACTTGGAAAGAAGATATTGGGAAATTGTTTTCCTTCATAATTCTGCTACATTCTCTTTAAATAATTCATTTTTGTCATTTCATAACTTTGGCTTTCAATTTGTCTACTTACTTTGTACTGCTTTAAAATAATTTGATGATAGCTTATGGTATTGCAATATTAAGATACCTGGCTTAATTCCAGTAAAATCACGTCGGACTGAAATTAAATATGTTAATATAGTTTAAACTTTCAATCAAATCTTTTGTCGAAAGCATAATTTTAAATTTTGAATTTGATGTGAATATTCTTATGTATCAAGCATTATTCATAAAGGTACAATGTCTGGGGGAAAAAAAATAAAAAAAACACACAAAAATAGAGAAAATAGGAATGGAATCCTTAAAGAAAGTCCAAAACGGCCGAAAGTCGAAAATATTGCAGGCTCGGTTTGATTGAGCTGTTCATGTACGGTAATGTGAAACCAACATTGTTCGAACTTTATGCTTGTTTTCATGTAATTACATAGGTAATTACATTCATTCAATTGAATTAATATATTTCATTCAAAATGTTAGTGACTTTAAGTTTTAGAATAAAACGGATCATTATTTCTATGCGATAAAACTGATTGGGATTCAAATATATTCCAAATAACTCAACATATCTTCATTTCCTTCTTTCTTTCTCTTTTTCATGTCAAATTTATTTTGCTATGCTTGATCATAATGGTAATAATGTTACATTCATCAGCGTATATGTATTGCATAATGTGTTTAAACACATGCATATATTACAAAGTGGATAACCCTGTAGCATGCCACTTCTTACATCGAACAAAACTGTCGAAAACCATGTCCGTTTACAACTGGCTTAACATTTCTTTACAATTAATTAACAGCTGAATCTAATTTACCATGAGCAATAACCAAGTATAATTAATCTTTAAATTTGCAGTCAAATGAACATATATTTGTATAACATGTATAAAGTCCTCTTGAACGAAGGAAATCGACCCTTCTGCAAAAGGCGATGCGTCTTTTATATAACACAAACTAACACGCGTTAAGAAAATGCCTCCCTTCCCACACCGTCAACTTAAAAGGTGAAAGGTTAAAATGAATGTAAACGTATGCGCATCTGTATTTGATGCCCGTAATTGTGCATTTTATTGCATGTAGAACGCATTTTAATTGTTTTCTAGCCGAGGTTAGTTGACGGGACATGATCAAATAATAGTGTCTGGTTTATTATATTTCCGGCTTTTTTGTACTATTGTGTCGTCTTACCGGCTACTACAAATTGTTTTTTACAGTCCAAAGAAACCCGAAATTACCCCTTTTTTGCAAGAGTTGTCCATTGCAAACGTATTTAATTTCTTTGAAATTTTAGATGACTCATACTGTACTTTACATTTTAATTTTCACAAACATATTTAAGTATCTTAAGACCAATTAGATTTCAATAGCGCAGTACCATTTAAAAGACAATATGCTATTCTTTTTATACAAACAATGTATAATTCAAACTAATCATTTAAATTGGTTGGTTAACATTATAATTAATTATAGATATTTGCCCTTTAAATTAATTGTTTAATACACACATATTCCTTTTGTAAGTATGTAGGTGGTTTAAGTTTTCAAAACGTTTCAGTCAAAGTCACTTAAGCTCTAAATGGTAAAGTTTTGAAAAATAAAATTGATTTACAATATTTACATATGGTTAATTTTATTTTGTACTTCTCTTCAACTAAAGAAAGAACTGATCAATACACTGGGCTGAGTTTCAAAGAAAGTCCTAAGTATATCCTAAGTCCTCGGACATAAAAGCCATTTTAGAACTAACTTAAGACTGTTTCAATAAACATTTTGATCCTCAGTCAAATACTGTAAACTATAAATAAATTCATTACTCCGAGAAAAAGTTAAGAAATCCAACGTCAGACCCTTTTATTCGCAATGTGTAAATGCCCATCAGCATTGCTATTCAGAAATTATAAGAGTCATAACATAGGAGTCATAAGTCAGGATATTTTCTTTGAAACGCAAAATTGTCTCAGTTTTGTTCTTTAGACTGATTGAAGCCCTGATTTAAAACTTTATGTCATTGAAACAGGTACTTCATAATAAAAATTGCTGTATCTTTAGTTTATATTCTAAGTTCATAGGAGCCCCCATTGCAAAAACAAAAACAAAACGTTTAAAAATATGCTATTAAGTCATGTGCTATGCATTTTCAGTAAAAGAGCAGCCAACTTATTTTAATTTAAGCGATATTTTATTGCTCTCTAGCAAATTATATGTTAAATACATGGATTAATATGAAATTAAATATCTTTTTAATCTTTAGATTGCACAAATATAGCATGTTTTAGAGCTGATTATTATTATTATTTTTATTATGATCATGAAAATGTTAAATGTGTACTTTACAAGTTTGTTTACAACAGTTAGTTATACGTTTTACGTTTTTACAGTATTCGTATAGTATAATATTGTATTTAAGAACGGAATGTAATTTCTGTGTTAACAATATATTTATGAGATGTTTCACAACAAGTGACCAGGGGGTCACCGCTTAAATACCTGTAAAACAACCGCGTGGTGTGTAAGGGTCGCGCCAAATCCGGTCTAATGCACGCACGAGAACGTGTATTGCTACTTTAAGACGTTTAAGTTATATGGGAATATTTATTGAGAATGACGAATTTTTTTTTATTCTGAAATAAAGCTTTTAGAACAAACAAACTTAGAATTACAGAAATGCGATCATTTGGCGTACGTTACTTGTCGTATATTTCAATTATCGAAATTGATATAAATGGTAGGTTTATAAAAAGTCAATATTTGCAATAAAAAAACTTAAAAAAATAAAATATCTGATTATTACAAAAAAAATCATGAGTGCAGTCCGTACAATATTATTTCAAGTTACTAATATAAAGTTGTTGGGATATTTTGTGCATTCTGCAATTACGCATATCTTATTAATTATTATTTTTCTGTTTAGGACTTTTTACAAATGTTATCTGTTAAGAATTTTCTAGCGACAATTTCACCCATCTTTCGTATATCTTTCTTCTTTGATGGTAATTTAACAAGCAACTGACCATCGGTCCATCATGTTAACATGCTTCAGAAGTGTTAAAGATCAGGTCAAATCCGGTATGTACATTCATACTAAAAGAGGACAAAATGTAATAAACGTGAAATGTAAGATAATTTGTTTCCTTCAACGTAAAATCAGGCGTTTAACAACTTTTGTCAACGGATTTATAGTTAAAGTTTAACAAATACTCCATTCAGATAAACGGAGGGACTTCGATGTCAGTGCTTATTTACTTATCTATCTATTGTTTTCTTTTTATAATTAAAGTTAAATGCACAACGTGTTTACAATCAGCAACGACCATCCGGATACACTATATTTACATCTTTACATCTCCGCCAGTCACAACTGTAAAACAAATAAATTTAAAAAAAAGTCAAAACATATAGAATATTGTCACACTTATGCATACTATAACTATCTTATTAAAAAAAAGCCTCAATAGATAATAACAGCGAATAAAGTAAAAACGTGTTAGTTAAAGAATTCTTATCTCCATGATATAATTATAATAAGATAAAGTTCCTAAGTAGGAACCTTCCAAGGACCAACGCCTTATAATTAAGTGGTTATTAAAACATATATCAGGTACCGTAGTTCAAAGTTACTTTTTAATATCAGGTATCATCAAAGACCAATTTATAATAATCTATCTATTCCAGAATTTCAAAGAAATTCTAGGAATCATTTTTACTCCTTATCAAAGATTGAAAAAAGATAATTAAAAAAACCAGGCAGTGGAGATAGCACTTTCGACTAGTTAAATACTGGACAAAGTAAAGGAAAACAAAAATATGAAGAAAAAAATCAATTTATATTCTGTATAATTACGAAGAAAGCACTCAAGTGTTCAGCATATTTGCTCACATAATATGCACGTAACCATGTCAATGAAAGTTAAACAGGCATTGCTATGCTCTAATGTAAAAGACATGTGAAATATGAAGTCAATTCCTGCGGTTACAGAAAATGATCAGAGCAAAAAGAATATAACGTTTTCAAATTTAAATTATATGTTTAAACAGGAAATAACTCTTGAATAAAAAAGAATGAAAGAGTTATAAACAGTGTTATACATGGTGTTAGTATTGACAAAGAACAATTATATTACGTCTTAAGTAGATACCATCTATAATAACAAAGATAATAGTTAAAACAATCACTTTTGAAGCAAATTCCATGTTCAAAATAGCAAATAACTCTAGATACAGAAACTATACTTATTAATCTAATCATTTATGATAAAGCTGTTGGTAACAAACAATTTTTGAAGGTTTGAGTAAAATCTTTAAAGAAATATAGAAGTCGCAAGAAAAATAAGGAAAATTCAAAGTTAAAGGAAGAGATCACTCTTGAAATATTAACGCTAGAGTAATAAACCTTGTCACATAATCATGATATGGGAGTTTATATAAAATTTTATTTAAAGTT